TTGGGACCATAAGGTCCTGTTTTGGGGGGCAAAAAAAAAAAAAAGTAAATAAATAAATAAAATAAAATAAAATAAAATCAGCCCTCCTGCTCGTCCTCCCCCACACCTCCGTCTTTGAAATAAGGACGGTGGCTGTGCACAAGTCAAGACAGTTTGATGGGAACTTGGAAAGTTTAGAACCCACTCTTTTACAAACGAAAGAGCTACCCAGCCAATGTGGCTGAATGGTACACTCGTCAACTCTTGACAAACAGACCTGATTTCGAATACTGAGGAAAATGAGTTTAAATGACCTTGACTTGCCTCGAGCTGGTCAGTTAAATGATGGTATCTCATGGCTGTTGCCCCTTTTTTTTTTTCCCGTTCCTGTGGGCACAGACAGAGGACAGTTTCATCGTGTTTAATATGTCCTCCAACCATGACACAGTAGGTTGAAATGCGGAGAAAGTCAGAGCCAAGAAAGTTGTTCAAACTTCCAATGCCTGCATGGCCACTCGAGGTACACACGCATTAATTGTAGATCAAGAATCTTTTGCAAGGAATATGAGCGAGAGCAATAGACAGAAACCCAAGTTGCAAAATCACGAAGTAGTCCAGATAGTCATGTACCAAGCAGAAAGCACAATGCACCAAGATTCCATCCACATAAGAGCAATACAAAGAATTCAAGTACCAATGCCGACACGCCTGGTCACACCAACACCGTATCCAATGTCGCTCCTACTGTCTGGCGTTCAGCGCCCAGCCTACTCTACCCAGCCTATCTAGCCTGTCTACGTTCAAGCGACTGGATCACACTGAAGTCGACGACCAATGTACGTGACGTCAACACCAATGCTGACCTCCAGCATAAACCAGGTACGTTTTCTCTCTCTCCTCGTTGCCTCTTGTCTCCCACCTTATGCGCCTCCTACCTGAAGACCACCTTCGCCATCACCTGCATTGCGCCCCTGCAGCCCGGGTATAGCTGCTGTGCGCCCGCTGCCTCGCAGCGCCCCTCTCACCTCAGTGCCTGACCCGCAGCGCCCATGCAGACACTAATGCAGCAACGCAGCAGCGTGTCCGCATTGCCTGCCAAGGCCAGACTGCCTCTGCCAGGGGCTCACACTTTCCTTTATGGAAAGTGTGTCGCTGCTGGCTGTCCTGGCCAGGCGTGTAGGGGGCCTGCAGCTTCAGTTGGGCCCCAAGTGTCTGCGCCCAGGCCCAGTTTCCGAACATGGACTGGGCCTCGTGCAGTTAGGCACGTCCAGGAAGCCACCCAGCCTCTGAGTGTTTGCCGCATTCTCACTGCCTGCAGCACATATGTGACGACAATGCTGCTTCCTCATTGGTCCGTAACCAGTCCGTGATGTGTCTGCCTCACACAGCGTGTGCCCAGGGTGCAACTGCCTGAGCCCTGGGCTCAACTGTACAGTGCAGCCCTTTGCTTCTGGAAAGAGCCTGGAGGCTCACGTTGTTGCTCTGTAACCAACTAGCTGCGAGCGTCCGAGTACCCACATATGGAAAAATTGTCGAGAACAGGCCTCACTTGGATATTCAGGCCCGCCTTCACTTAGGGCGGGGACGAGGCTTGCTAAGGGCCACAGCCCAGAACACTTGATGTCTGATAAGGGCTCTGGGAGGCTCATTCCTCTCACTATGCTGCTGGATACAATAATTTTAGGGGCTACCCCCTCCAGACATGAAAGACGAAAGCAAGACACACACACACACACATACAGAGACAGAGAGAGAGAGAGAGAGAGAGAGAGAGAGAGAGAGAGAGAGAGAGAGAGAGAGAGAGAGAGAGAGAGAGAGAGAGAGAGAGAGAGA